GATAATTTTTTTTATGTGTAAAGGCATTGCATTATAATAATTAGGACCTAAATAATCAATAAAATGTTGACCAAAAGATTTTTTACAATAAAATACTTTGACATCAAAGGCCATCAATTCGCGTTTTTTTCTCATATTTTCCATAAGAAAAAAATTTTTATAATTTTTTATTATGTGCATAATAGATACCTTTTTATATACACTCTCGACCGGTAACACATTCAACAGCTTGAAATTTTCACTAGTTGAACCTATTAAATTATTTCTAGTTATATTATTACATTTAATATTAGAAAAAATACATATAATATTAATAAAATAAAATGTACACAATTTCGGACATTGTTCTTGAGGAAAGTGGAAATCCATTGTTGGATATTTTTTTACATGTAAAGGTGGGGGTTATTAAATCAGTAGATCGCCACACTATTACGTAAGTATACTCTATATACTATCACGTATATCGTATATACAATTAATAACACTGCAAATTTAAAAGTAAATAACAACTTATTGTTAATTTAATCGTAAATATGATGATTACTTAAATGTAAGACTATAAAAGTGATTTTTGACTATTGTTTTAGAAATACCAAATTAAAAAAGAAAATAGTTAATGATTAATCTTTCATCAGTAAATGAAAAATCTATATTATTAGTCGGTCAAATAATTCAAATGATAATTCCTCAAATTAAAAAAATATTAAATTACCGTTAATAGTGCAACAGGAAATTGAGTAAAAGTGTTATTTTTATGTCATCCTTGGTTATTTTAAATGTTCCCAGAATGGAAAAATATTTTTAATAGTTATAAGTAACGATTTTAATGTGTTGTAAATGGATATGACTATATATTAGAGAGAATTGAAATAGTCAACAACAAGAAGTTTCCAGGAGCAGTAAAAAGTATAGAAGATCTTGAAGTTAAGGCTCCCTGCAACTATTTATTAAGGATCTAATTTATTTCAACTCAATCCACACCTCTTTTCGTCGTCTCGCTATGACACGATCTGTATTGTAGTAGTATTGTAGTAGCGTAAATGATTATTTTTGTGAGTGCGAAGGTATATGAACAACGCTCAGAGTTACATATTATTATTGAATAAATTACAAAATATTAAGTTGTTTGTTTCTGAGGATAAAAATGACTTCACAAGAATGCGGATAACACTCTGTCGATTGAATATTTTCAAACAATTATTTTTTGAATTGATAAAAATAACATTCTACAGAACATATTGAATTAACATTTTCATTTAATTTTAAAAAACATTGAATAATGTTTTGCAAGAAAACCCGTCATTTTTATAAAGATATTCTTTCAAATAGAAAAAAATTCATGTGAAACGTGTGAAACATTTGAATGGACACTTCCAATTATTGTAATAAATAATAATAATAATAATAATATATGAATATGTGTCGATTTAAAAAAAAAAACTAAGTCCTTCCAGAAAAGTAGACAAACATCCGTTGCCGAAAAAAAAGATGATGTAACATATAACGCAATTGATTTTTTAGCAATTAATTGATTTATTGGGAACGTATTTACAACTTAAAGTAGAATCTGCAAGTCGTCATATTTAAACTACATAAACACTCATAAATTATCTTATTTATTTAATAGACTTTGTTATGGCATCGCTTTAGATTAAATTAAACTTCAAGCTGTAATGGAAAATATTTCAATTCGGATACTAAATATTTAAGTATATACAGATAACTTATTTGGATATATTATATTGTATTCATTTTCTCAAATATAAATCATCATTAAAAGGAGGAATACTAAACACGTACATAGTGATTTTGTGTGCCTCGGTGTCCATAATACTCAGTTGCATACGCTGCCTGAGTGTACGCACCAGCCATTGTTGCTAAGTCCCGAGTTAGTGACCACTGACCATTCAGGATTTTAACCAACAAGTCCTAGCTACACATACACTTACAAGTGTTGAAACTAAGCTTTCCCAAATTACAAACAACTTATGGTCATACTGATTAATTTGACTAAAAAGTATAAACAAATATTTTTGTGTAGCATAATTTATATTTTTATAGTGAATACATCTTATGATGATATTTCGAGGGGCGAAATTTTAAATGGAAATCTCCGTAAGTATACATTATAAGTTATTTACATTGTTATATTCAAATAGTAATACAAATACAAATACACATTAATCGCGCATTAAAATAAGATGTATTATTGTATTAATGATAATATTCGAATATTCGATCCATTGCTGAAAATTGTGGTTGATACTTCATGGTATCGCAGGCTAACTTAATAATTTAATTACAATCACATACTTAACGTTTACATTACTTACACAATATAAAAGTATGTGCAATTGATTCTCTTGAAATATAAAAACAGTATCAAACTGAGATATATCAATAATATAATTTTTCTTTTAATAGCTACTTATTTTAAAAACAAAGAAGTGAATACAAGTAAGTATACATAACTAATTATTAATAGTGTTATATGTTAATATTTTATAATGTTTTATGTGTTGATATATGATTAAATATATTATAATAGATAGTACAAAATATATAAAAACGCATTAATCATCTAACCTAAAATGTATTAATGATAATACGTCGAGACATTCAGATAGATAGTATGGATAGTAGATTTCACATACTTATTTTATATTACAATTGATTATTTGAAAAGGACCTTATATATGTATATGTATATTATATTATATTTCTACATCGGGGAAGAGTAAAATTAATCACCTTGAAGAATATGATAAATTATATTTTTGTTGCATTTCTTATTAATACAACGTTGGGACATACTAGTACCTATGCTAAATTATTACTACATTTTTTTTTCTTATAAAGAGAAGAGGCTTCAAATCTTAGGTTATTAGCCTGACATTAAATTTGTACATAGTATTTTTCTTAAGAAAAGTTGCTACATAATATTTTCAAGTACTTATAAGTTTAAATTTTTTTAAGATATTTGTGGTACTCAAAAATGCTGTTATTTTTTATGTTTGACTTTCGTTTAGCGCTTCTGCTATGGTATGTGGCATATTGAGGTCGGTGCGAGTTGGGGAATATGTGAGCACTCCTCCACAATGTGCTTGATGGTTAATGCAGTGTGGCAAGACTCCCATACTGGTTGGGGTTCGATACTGATTAGATATAAGCGGGTATGGAAAGAGTGCCCGATTCTGCTGCTGGCGTTTGCAATATCTTGGCGTCGTTTAAAATTAGGAGGATTATTAGAATTTTAATCGTTTTTTTAAATATTTTTAATTAATATTTTTGTCAAATTATAGTATTGAGTTCTAGTAATTTTGCCAAGATGAGAAAATTTAGTTCTATTGAGAGAATTGTTGATGTCGATGCAACAAGATTGTTTTGAGTGTAACCCATTGGCATAGAGTATGTGTGCTTCTCTTAAAATATGAAAACAGTAACGAACAGAGATATATCAATGATATAAGTAACATTAGTTGTATAATATATTAGTAACGACATAATGTCCTTTTTTTATAGTCATATGATTTTTAATACAGAACAAAATTGAGAAATCGTTTTCAAATGGCAGAGGTAATCGAAGAAATAGTAATTCCACCAAGTCCTTTATCTAATGGTTCTATTCCAATTAAAAAATATGATGATTTATTACATTCAAAGAATTTTTAAGCCCTTTTCAAAAATATTTTACACCTCATTCTTATCAGATTAAGCAAATACAGATGGAGACTTTATAGAGCATACAGTTCTTCTATCAATTGATTCAAATCAAAATTCATAATGGGAAAAAAAGATAAATGTCAAATGTTCATTAGGAAATTTAAAAATAAAATTGAATTTTATCCAAAATAAGTTGTATAACTACAATATAATTTTATAAATTATCTTATACTATATCGTTTAGTTTTTTTAAGTTTTGATGCTTTAAAACTGCAGTACTGAATATTATCCCTATAGCCATTCATATTATAATATTATGTAACACTAATGTGAGTTGACTACCCGACAAAATTATGTGTAATTTATTAGATCAAAATATAAAAATAGTAAGCAACTGAAGTTTATGTACCTGTATATATATGGTATGATTTATTTTTTTATATAGATAAGATTTTAAACGATTTAATGGAAGAAGTGATATTCTTGTTTTTACGTAAGTATACACAGTAATAGTTAGTCATATACTGTCATGGTGTAAAATTAAAATTTTGTATAATGGTTACTGTGCCTTCAGAGTTATATGTGATTCAATATAATATAATATTCGTATTTTATAAACGTTTGACGACGAAAACTGAGTACATGAACACATATTCAATTTTCATATTCTTTAGTGACGATATAGATATACCTAATAAGGAATAAATTCCATCCAGTTACTTCTAAACACTGAAGTTGTTTTCGACGGCCGCCATGGTAAAATTAATGGTAGATAAATTTGCAATTAATAGTAGAAGGTTAGAGGGGTAGAACTGCTTTCACCGACATCGTTATCGGCTATTACTGAGATACTAGAATTTGAATATAGTCCTATGCTTGTGATTTCGAGTTTAATAACTGTAGCTGATTTTTGGCAACATATTCATCGTGATAGTATGTAAATTGTTTTTCTTGAGAAGTTAGTCATAATGTGGTTAAAGTTGGAGTTTTAGATTTGGGACACCTTACTTTTAAGGCTTTATCATCATTTTACATATGTTCTTGGCTCAATTAGAAATCATACTAACAGATCTAAAGAAGTTACGATGTTCCTATAGGAAGTTTGACAAGTTCTAAATACTCAAGTGTTGAACGATAGTACGTTAAAATGAAAACAATCGTTTTAACTGATTCTTATCATCTCTAACTTATATTTATATGAAACCTAAGAGTCCTAGTGGTGACTCAGTTATGATATATAACTAAATTTTTGTTATAAATTGACTATTCATTCACTTTGAATCATAGTCGATCAAGCAGCCATTGTGATTTTTACACTTAATAATTCGAGTGAAATATTTTGGTTAGATATTTATGNAAAGGAAATATCACTGTCATTGTTTCGTAGTTGATTTAATTTGTTTGTATTATCTTAATCGTTGAATATGGAGGTTTAGTTCAAAACGTGGAAGTACCCTAGAGTACACGCTTCACGGTCAAAAAGACCGGGCTTTTTGAATTTTGTTCATTGTTTCAAAAATACGAAATATTAACCTAACCCAATCTAGGTACCTTCTAATTAGATGATAAACTAACATTAGATACAATTCTTAACTGTATACGATTTGTTGCCTGTACTATAGAAGGGTTCAAAGTCCATTACCTATTAAAACACGGTCTAAAAGACCGTGTGCGTGTTATACTGTGACATTGACACACAATTTAATTTTAACTTATGTTAACTTTCTTATCGCCGATAAGACGTTATTCCTTATCGATAAAACGTAAATGAATATTTTAGTTTCATTGTGACTGGCAAGATTGTTTTTAGTTGACATTGGTTCGCCATACCGTGTGTAACTACGAGTATAATACAGATAAAACATTTATAAATGTAAGTATCAGTACATTTTATTTTTAGCAGGTATTTCTTTGTTTTAGTCACACTATATTTTCAATATATTTGTTTTACATTATATTATTTTTTCATTAGAATGGACGACGATCAAATTCGTTTACTTATTGAAAATATTGATGATGAAAATACCGAGTTTGACGAAATCTTAGGCAGTGACGAAGAAGGAGTTGATGAGGTAGAATATATAAGTCATTATAGTGATTCTGAACAATCTTTAGACGGTGATTATGAAGATAATGGCACCTATTTATTTTCTAATTGGTCGAACGGACCGCAATTTATAGGGAAAGATGGTAAAACTTTTTGGAAATATTGTCCTCCACCAAAAAATAATAGAATAAGACGACATAATATAGTTAGACATATACCTGGAGTAAAAGGGCTTGCTAAAAATGCAAATAGTGTTGAAGAATCGTGAAATTTATTTTTTCCAGATTCTATTTTGGAACAAATTGTTACATACACAAATATTTATCTTGACCGTATAAGACCAAAGTTTGATCGTTCACGTGATGCAAGACCGACTAGTCTAACAGAAATAAAAGCGCTAATCGGTTTATTATATTTAGCAGGTGTTCATCAGTCTTCTCATGTGAATATAAAGGACTTATGGGCTATGGACGGTACAGGTATTGAATATTTTAGATTATCGATGGGTATGAATCGCTTTTATTTATTACTTCGAGCAATTCGTTTTGATGATATAACAACACGTGCAATGAGACAATCTGTAGACAATCTAGCACCAATACGATCATTTTTTGAAGACTTTGTTAGAAGATGTCAAGACTATTATGAATTGAATAATTATGTTACAATTGATGAAATGTTAGAGTCTTTCCGAGGTCGTTGTCGTTTTAGACAATATATTCCTAATAAACCCGCAAAGTATGGCCTCAAAATAATTGCATTAGTAGATTCAAATACATATTATTCATATAATTTGGAAATATATGCAGGGAAGCAGCCAAACGGGCCCTATCACGTAAATAACAGTGCTTGTAGTGTCGTGGAAAGATTGATTAGGCCAATTTCTGGTTCAGGTCGAAATATTACGTGCGATAATTGGTTCAGCAGTATTCCTCTAGCAGAAGACCTTCTCAATAACCATAATTTGACCATGGTTGGAACATTACGTAAGAATAAGAGAGAAATACCACCAATTTTTGTTCAAAAACTCAAAGAGCGGACGAATGAAAGTAGTATTTTTGGTTTAAAAAAAAACATGACTTTAGTGTCATATAAACCTAAAGCTAATAAAATTGTTTTAGTTATATCAACTATGCATAACGATGATAGCATTGATACTGACTGTGCTAGATCAAAGCCTGAAATGATCAAATTTTATAACTCGACCAAAAGGGGAGTCGACACTGTTGACCAAATGAAAGGAAAGTATTCCGTCTCAAGAAACAGCCGGCGTTGGCCATTGACAATATTTTTTTCTGTTCTAAATATTGCGGGCATAAATAGCCAAATTATTTATGCTAGTAACACTAATGCAAAAATTGTTCGCAGAGAATATTTAAAATGTCTTTCAAAAGCATTAATTTATAAATATATATTGGAAAGAGTACAGATAAAAAACATTCCAATGAATATAAAAGTTCGAATACGTGAAATCACAAATGCTAAAGAGGAACCAGTACAAAAGACGTCAAATGCTCCTGGAAGATGTGCATTTTGTAATTGGAAAAAAAATCGAAAAACATCGAATTTGTGTAACGACTGCCAATCATATATATGTAAAGAACATACAGCGCCTTCGATTTGCCAAAACTGTTCACAACGAACGATGGAAGATGATTTTTTTTTAGAATAAAATATTTTATATTATTAATAATCTAATATGTAATAAAATTTAAATAAAAGTTAAATTTTTTTATA